AGGACATTAAATTTAAATTTAATTGTCGTCAAAGCTTATAGTTCAGATTTTGATGCATTCCTACCTTTTGAGAATATGGTTCATCCCTTGTTTTGAAGTTTGATATTCAAAACATGATGCATAAAAAGCAGAATCAAATTACTCTTGGTGCGGTAATCCTATTAATAAGGCATAACATAAAAAACCGAGATTCTGAATAACTTTTAATCTTACAATCGGATTGTCACACACTGCATGACATCCTAATGGCTCGAGGAGATAACCTTAATTTTACTAGCAAATGTGTGCAGTCAGTATTTTACAAGATAAAATATATTTTTGCACAGAATTCTTGACCCTCAAAATATACAGGTCAACAACGATCATATGGTCAGGAGAGCGGTCGAAAATTAGAACCTTTCTCTCTTTTTTTCTTTTTTCTCTATGTCTCCGGAACTATTTATGCGAATCAACGAATTTTGCACACAATTGTAAAACTCGTTAGTTCAAAGATAATCCCACGTAAGAAATTGTTTATCATGATTAAAAATTATTATTTAGTATTTAAATTAATAATGGTCGAAAATTTCTTCATTTATAAAATGCACATCACATCAGCTTAAACTATTTAATTTCAAATGACAAAATCCAAAATTTAAATGTAGCTCGCTATTTTAATGTTCTGTAATTTAAATGTTTCTGAGTTTTAAAAATTCAAAAAATACAACTTTTTATTAAAAAATTTAATTCCTTAAAATTTTTTCTGCTGATTTCGATTACATTTTAGATTTTGTTATTTAAGAAGACGTCGTTTAGAATTTCGTGAATATTTTTATACACCCAATCCAAGGAAAAAAATTCCGACCATTATTAAATAAAATGATAAGTGGAAATAAATGATCTTATAAAACTATGCATCGCAAGAAATTATCTTTGGATTTACAAATTTCATAATTGTATGCGAAATTTGTTTGACTGAAAAATTTTAAAATGTCTAAATTTTCTACCACTAAATTGGTACCATATTTTCCGGATCGTATTCACTTATCTTCCCCTCATCTTGAGGTCCCAGAATCTAAATCCGGCAAAAAAATGTATATTTAAATATCATCTATACAAATTTATTAGCATATTTAAAGTTAGCCCCTACCTCATCTTAGTGCGTGATAATCCGATCATTAGATCAAAAGTTATTAAAATGCTCCGTCTTTTACTTTATGCACTTTTCATAAAATCTTGTTTCGTTCATTAAATACGGTTCATGATGGCTCTTATTTCGTTCATGATGGCTGTGAATTATTGTTTTACTGTTTAAAATGTTTCCCTCGCATGACATGATAATCCAATCTTCGCTTTTAACAATATAATAAATTCCAGCAATCGGCATCAAGTTTAGAAGAAATCAATGGGTCAGTTACTGATTTCTTTTTAACTTGATGCCGTTCGCATCCGGTGAATTGAAACAATTTAGAAGAAATTTGAAGCTGAGAAGTAAACGAACAACGAACTCATTTTTATCAGCTTAGAATAAGTAAGCTTGAAAGTTTTGGAATAAATATGAATTATTATTTTATTATTAGACTGTTTCTCTTTGTGCATTTATTGTTTTCCCTTTTTTTCTCTTAAGTTCGTTTAATTTTCGCTATGAAATTTTAAGAGTTTTGCATTTTTCTAAAAAAAATAACTTTTGATTTAAAAAAAAAATGGTTAGTCTAATGGTTACCGTCAGATGGGGTGACTTTGTGCAACGCGGGATGACTTTGTGCAAACTGTTAATTATTAAATAACTAACATTATAATAATTAAAAACGAAAAATTATGCATGATTTGTTATCTCAATTGATAGGACTTTTAAAGTATAACCTACCTTCCTGGCCAGGATAGCTAGAACTTCTTCAACCGAGTAGACTTTCAAGCCTCCGAGTTTGCGACGTTAAAAATTTTTAAACTGTTTGTAACTTGAGCTCACAATTTTCCAAGAACGATGATGTTTACAATGCCAGTTCTTGGTAAGCCATTAGTTCGTTATGTTGGCAACTCAAATCAGTTGATACCGAGCTTTTTTAGAAAGAAAAAAAAAAACTTGGATGGCACGACACAAAAATTGAAAAAATGACAGTTCGCACAAAATCACCCCTCGTTGCACAAAGTCACCCCATCTGACGGTAATGGTAAAAGAATCTTAAAAAATGGATGAAAAAATGGCTTCTGATAATAATTTTTTGTTATGCGATTTTGTAGTATAGAATGAAGCGAATGAATTAAAAAAATACTATGGTTTAAAAAGATATATTTAAAAAATATATTAAAAAAAAATTTCTTTGATTTTGACAGCTAATACTAAAGTTGCTCTGAAGTGTTTTAAATATGCTTTTATCTATAAATCTATTTAATTTTACGGGATCATTACAAATATATATTTTGAATTAACTATTTAAGAAATTTTACTTTCATTTGTATATTTTATTTTTCGAACTGATCAAAGAAATTTTTTTTAATATTTCTTCTTCCTATTGTTGAGAGTAAGAAGAATAACTTTGCATACATTTCATACGCGAGTATTTTAGATCTTCGCAATAACTGTAGAATAAATAAACTTCGTAATAACGGGGAAAATAGCATTTTACTGATAAAAAAATGTGTGGTACTTTTTTCATGTAGGTTTTTTTAGCCGTTATAAAAGTTCAGCTGTATACGTATCTTAATATTTATTGCAATTAATAATAAAAAAACGGAACAAATTATTTAAATGAGAAGCAAATAAGGTTTTTTTTCCAGAAAAATTTAAATTTTATGGTGTTTATTTTTTAAAGAATTTTTGTAACACACGCTTAATTGGAATTTAAATATTTTAGAAAATGTTGCATTGTGACAGAATATATATTATCGATTTCTATTGATTTGAAATGAATAAGGCCCCAGGCTACCTACCAGCCCCAGGCCCCTTCTCACGCTGCTTCACCCTTGTATGTTTTTTCCTCTGCATCTCCTATATCTTCTTTGCAATCGTTAATTTGGGAAAATTTGAAAGCATTGGAAAAATTAAAAATGTTTTTTTTATTTAAATTTTTTTTTTCACTTTATTTACTCATTTATCTTTCGTATTGAAATTTTTCATTATTTTTTTATTTTATATTCATTTTTATATTTATTTTTTATTTTTTTATTACCGTTATTAGGATTGTAGAGAATCCACGAAAATGTTTTAGTAAAAAAAACTCATGTTATTTTTTTCTTTGAGACAGAAAAATTCAGGAAAAAATTGAATTGTGAATGGGTTAAAAAAATACTAATCTTTAATTACTTAAACTAATTAAAGATTTTATTTTAATTACTTTATTTATTTTCATTAATTAAGCTTTGATTAATTAAAATAATTATCACTATTAATTAAAAATGTATAAATTCTTTAATATCTGATTTGTTTAAAATGCTCATTTCCTCTTTTAGATGGCAGCACCTTATAAGAAAAAATAATTTGAGCTTTTGTTTTTTTTTAGCGAAGGGATTTTTTCAAGAAAAGTTTTCAAATTTAGACTTTTTCTAATGAATTTAATTTACTAGCATCTATGTATTTTATAAAATTTCTAATTAAAATCGGTTTCAATTCACAATAAAACATACGAATTTTGACGAACTATAAATATTATTCTCAGTAATTTGAAACACAGATTTCAATTATGTTAATCCAATAGTGTTAATTATTAATTCCTTTACGAAATCAGGCTCAAACACGTACTTTCTCCGAAAACATACACGCACGCCTTTTTTATTGTATTATTATTTTTCTAATTTAATACAATAATGTTTGAAAAATTTCAATTTGCATGATTTACAAATTTTCCTGTCATTTTCACACTTCGTAATTTCTAAAGACAAACTGTAAAGTTTGAAATAAATCGGTTAAATGGTTTTTGAATTAAAAAAATGTTTTTAAAAAAGTCTTATTTTTGAATTTTTATTTCCTAAGAATACAAGACTAATTTCATTTAAATTTTCCTTTTGCGAATTAAAATTGTGGGGTTTAAAAACAAAATGGAAATTTTCAGAGTTTACAATTCAAATTTTTTTTAAACAATTACTAAATTAAGTAATAAAAGATAATTAGCAAGTATTATAAATTATTTTTACGTGGAATAATCTTTAAATGAACGTGTTTTATAATTGAGGACAAAAAGTATTCACTTAAAAAATTTCTAACTTGTAGCAAAATACACAAAAAATTAATTTAAAATTAACGGATCCAAACTTTTTATCGCACTTCTGGCAACACTATTGGAACCACAACTTTTCAAATTGCGAATACCCCTTTTTTCGATAGTGAACAATCCGAATCATTCAAAATAAAGATATGTTTATTTATAGAAGGTACATTTTAGAAGCGTTTTGAAAGTACGTTTTTTCGAATTTCAGTGAATATTTAGCTCTAACTATTTAGCATATCTGAAGTCAATCCTTCAAACCTTTAAAAATTAGTTTCTGGTGGGCGAAAATCTGATCATTAAAACAGAAATTATTTTAGGTGATCCTTTTTTTGCTTTGTTTTTTTTTTGCTCATTATTCATTAGAGTATTATATATGCATTTAATATTTATTGGAAATATATGAAATTAGTGTTTTTTTTAAACATACATCATTGCTTTGTTCAGTTACTTTAAAGCGATGCTATAAATTTTCATTTTAATGGTATTCCTATGCACAGTCGGTGGGGTAAGCATTTTTTGATAAAAATAATCATCACTAGAGAAATCAAAAAGAATGAACTGATTTTGTACACTAAATTCTTATTAATCAAATTAAAGTCAATTACTTTTAAGCCTTTTCAAATACTACGGAATCTCTTTTTTTCTCCAGTTTTTGGTGCCATTAATACGCCATTCTCATCAAAATTTGAGAGGTGCATAATATGTATTATAGAGAGTTTCAATTTAAGTATTATACCCTGGTGGACATGTAAAGGTAAAAAATAAATGCCCGATACTTTTCGAACCTTCTTTATATAGAAAATCAGTGCAAAAAAATTCACCCTATTCCTTTCTGTTTTTATTTTGAAGAGCAAAGTTTTGCTAACAAACCTTATTATAGCACATTTTATAACACAACTGAAAATATAGTTCAAAAATGTTATGTTTAACAAACATTGGATTAAAAAAATATACACATCAGTGGTAGCAAATTAATATTTAAGTTAAAAACTGAATCACTACTGAAATTTGAAGTATCAGTACTGAGAAAGGTGGGATAAAACCTGTTTGTTGCTTCCTTTACTTCTGCAAGTTCCATGCCAAGTAAAGTTATTATTTTTTTTAAAGCAAGTAAAATTATGAAAAACAATTTTAAGAACCAATGTCATTTTCAGCTTTACACTGTCATAGCTTTCTCGGAAAAAATGGTCAAATAACAATATATCAAATTATTTCTTTACCATATTTAATCGAAACAGCTAAATGACCAGAAAAATATGGTATTCGAACTGTAAGTTGTGAGAAAAATCGTTTATTGACTGTTTTAATACGGTTAAGAAGCCAAAATGCTTCCCACGCCAACATAGGCCCACCTTATGAATCACTTAGTTTCTTGCAGCTGGGTACATATTATAGCCGAGAGGGCAAATCTGTAAATTTCATGACCAGCTGAACAGAGGTTCAGATCTCAGCGTAGTTAGCTTAAATATTTCTTCTATTCTTACAACTCATGAAGAATTTCCAGTATGCTACACTTTCCGACTGGTGATGGACTATTAAACTACGAAATTCTTACTCTCGCATGTCAGCAACACAGAACAGCAGAGCAAAAAAAGTATAGTACTTCTCATCTCTCATGATAGATGGCACCACCAGATATACTTATAAAGTTACATTCCTCGGTTTTGACAAAACACAACTCAACCACAACCTAACTCCAATGTCCATTACATAACTTTACTCTAATCTCCAGTTAAATTTCAATTCTACAGTTTTGAAACCATGCTAGTTGTAAATGGATACAGAACAGTATAATTTTGTATTTATGTTTTTTTTTAAACCATACCAGTTGTAAACGTTTCAAAAACAGTTCAGGTAAAGAAATGCTCCTAATTTTACCGTTAAATGGATATACACAATCTGCTGCCGGTTACTTTATTGTAATTTTCAGTTTATTTATTTTAACAGTTTAGTCTATGAGTCTTTAAATATACCACGCTTATGTCAACTTTTTTGAATGATCGGACAAAAGATTGAAATAAAAATTCAAGAAATTTATTCCTACAACCTTTAAACGGTTTCAGATGCAGTGCTTATTTCTGCAAATAAATAAAAAGTGATTCTTGATTTCTTCATCTTGTCCATATGAATCACCTGAAGTTACATGAAATAATGATTTGACTAGCTGAAATTTTGTTAATCACATCAAAAGTTGTGTAATTTCTTTTCTTGATGAACTATAGACTAATCATAAATTTATGTCTTATGTCATTCTTATACCAAGGCTTCAAAATGTATCGCAGCATCTGTACTTGTGATGTTAATTATGTTTCTTGTGGTATTGGTTTACAGAAAAACCACCAAACGGATGTTAATCGTGGATACGGTGGATCTTCTGCATCAATCTGTAAAAACATGAAATATATTAGATTAACTTTCCTTCTATTTCAACAAAAAATTTGCCTAGAAAAATACGTTTATCTAACCATGATTATTGTGAGTCAAATATCAGTTGTCTAGAATAGGTTATCAGGAACATAAACTTTGAGATGAAATTAGAATACATTTTATTTTTATTTTTTTATTACAGAAAAAAATATTTATATAAATAATAATTAACTTTCAGTAAAAACATTATTTCAATTGAAAGAGCTAAATTTGAAAATGACTATTCTAAAGGCGTCTACGTATTATACAGATAGTTTCTATTTGGCTCTGCTATGTAGAACACAAATAAAATTTTTTTCCAGCTTTTTCACAATGATAAAAAAGTATCAAATATGTTTTAATTACCCTTTTCTTGATTTCTATTATTAATTTGTTATTTTTATAAATTTACATTCCATTATTATTCTAAAATTACATTCTATTATTATTCTAAGATAGCATTTTATTATTATTTCAAGATTGCATTCTATTGATATTCTCAAATTGCATATTCTATTGTTATTCTATAATAGGTTATCAGGAACATAAACTTTGAGATGAAATTAGAATAAATTTCATTTTTATTATTTTCATCACAGAAAAAACTAATTATATAAATAACATTTAACTTTCAGTAAAAACATTATTTCAATTGAAAGAGCTAAATTTGAAAATAGCTATTCTAAAGACGTCTAAATATTATACAGATAGTTTCTATATGGCTCTGCTACATAGAACACAAATATAATTTTTTTCCAGCTTTTTCACAATGATTAAAAAGTATCAAATATGTTTTAATTATACTTTTCTTGATTTCTATCATTAATTTGTTATTTTTATAAATTTACATTTTATTATTATTCTAAAATTACATTCTATTATTATTCTGTGACAGTATTCTATTATTATTGTAAGATTGCATTTTATTGATATTCTCAAAGTACATATTCTATTATTATTCTAAAATTACATTCAATTATAATTCTAAAATTACAAAAAAAATTTCTTCCATAGTTCGCCCACACAAAATAATTTCAATCATCCCTTAATAAAGCAGTGTTTAAATTCTCAGTTAGAAACTAACAGTCATGCTAATTTTTATGCGTCTGTTATATTATTTCAATAGGAAATGAACCTTTAATTAATGAGATAAATTTCAAACTCACATTGAATGTGTTATCATCGAATCTATAATATCTGTCCCCTTTAAAGAAATAGGATTTTCCATTTTCAAACTGAAATGCAGCTTCAAGATTATTCGGCAGGCCAGTCCATTTGCTTATTGGTTGAGGATATTTACCACTTACCGGAGGATCACTGTTACTATCAAATCGCCAATATTTATCTCCTAATAAAAATTTAAAATTAGTACTCTTAAAGAAAAAAAAACAAATTTCTAAGAATTTTGCTTGAAGTATAACAGCTTTCATTTTAAAACACTTGCACAGATATTAGATTTTTTATTAGATAAATATCGATGCTTTTGTGAAAAAAAATTCCATGAAGAGGTGGCGGAATACCGTTATTTTTACAGTAATACTATCGGTAAAATCACTGAATCATTGCAATTAAATAGATATTACTGTAAAAACTACGATATGAAATTTTACGGTAAAATAGATTCGACGGAAGGGAAAATATTTAACATATGGTGCAAATGTGCGTGATCTTGAAGTTAACTTTTTGGATTGTAGGTGTTCATACACCATTCCACTTTCATACACCATTACGTAAGCTTGATTTAGTGTTAACTTGAAAAAAAGTGCTCCTTCACACAATTTTTGGGGTTGTTGCGCATTTAATTCGGAGAGATATTACACCACAGTTTTCACAGTGTAGCTGGGCATGCAAGGGCCCAAATAAATAAATAAAATGATGGATTAACTGCCTTCTGCTAGTGACATTCTTATATGCATTATTTTAGTATACATGTAGGGTAAATCAACCAGTGAAGGAACACTACCCAGTGAAGGAACATTTCATATATATTGATTAAAAATAAGAATTCGAAAGATTTTTCTATAGATTGATTGGTAACAATAGCTTGCTGCCAAACAATAGGAAGTCATCTAGCAATGTTTTGGATTACCTGGTCAAATAGACTTCTCTGGAAAAATTTTTGAATTTGTTATTATCTCTGCAACACCTTGTTTCTTTGAAAAAATTATAAGGTGAGTGTTTGTATTTATATGTTTGAAGTGGAATTAATTGCATGTAATAGTTTTATTTTTCTCACTGTGAAAAAGAGAATTCAAAATATAGTTATTGAAGTTACGTTTTATTTTTTTTAAGCATCATAGCATAATAAAGTACTGAGATAAGGGGGTGTTTATTCACTGGATCACCAAACGATGAAAAACCAGTGAAGGAACAAGTGTTCCTTTACTGGTTTTTTTTCTAAGTTAATGAAAATAAAAGATAAACTTTAATTTTCTTGTACCTTTAGTGATGTTCCGCATCAAAAGTATGTTAAAAATACGAAAAACAACTTCTAACCAGTGAGGGAACAGGCATGTTCCTTTACTGGGCATAGATTTCCCAGTGAATGAACAGTATGTGTTAATATGTTGACACTTTAATTTTCAATTCATGATTACAAAAAAAAGTTAACATTTTCCAAGTATTTATATGTTATAATTTCAAGAATAGGCTTGTTTTTAAATATTTGTATGGCTTATAAATTCATAAAGAGCATTAAAAAATAACCAAAATTAAGTGTTCCTTTACTGGGTGTTCATTCACTGGTAAGAGCTGCTCCTTCACTTGGTCTTCCTACTACTTGTTATTTGAACCTCCAAAACTTTAAAACAATATTATGTAAGCTCTCTACAATTTTTTTACATGATTTGCAATTAGTAACAAATATGCTGACACAGTCATTTAACTAAAATTACGAACTTTGAAATTAATATGATTTTTTAAAAGGCAAGAGAAGCTTAAGTGTTCCTTCGCTGGTTAGTTCACCATATACATATTTGTAAATTTAATACATTACATAATACACTTTGCTTCGATTTTATAATTCACACATAATTGCAAAATGAGCATTATAATTATGTTCAAACATTCATCGTTTTATAAATGTATAAGGAAAAAAATCACTAACCTTTGAAAAAATATGTTTTACCATTATTACCCCATACAAAAGCAGCATCTATTTTATCTGGTATTCCTTCAAATCCTTGTGATATTCTTCTGGGATAACCAGGTTCCATTTCTTTGTTTTTAAATTTCCAATACCATCTTCCCTGTAAGTTAAAAATGTTAAAGCGTAATTAATGAATAAAGAAATGTAGAATTCTGTAAATCATACTTATGCATCAAACATAAAACAGCATAGCATAGGCTGTTCAATTTGAAACATCTTGTGCATTCAAAAATGATTGAAATTGATACAATTTCTGGAAACTTTTACTTTAGGATCTAAATTCAATAAATATATACTGGGTGTCCCATAAATATTTTATTTTAAAATCGGTATTGAACAGCCGACCCAATTCTGAGTTGACGGCTATCAATTTTCATTTTTGTAGCCTTGTAGTTTTGAACCCAATCCAGAAGACTCCTGGATCAAGCATTGGAGAAAACTAGCCTTTGTAGAAGACTTTTTGAGGGTACGAACCAGTATTTGCATTACACGAAGAGATAAACCACAGAAACCTCCCATGGTTAGCCTGACGATAATGGAATTCTAACAAATGATCCGTCTACAACTGAGAATATTTTAGATCAGCACTGTAGTCGGTGTGAGCCAGGAGCAAGAATTCGTATTAACCAGCCACCGCTCAGATTCGATTCTGGGTCACCTCATTGGGAGACAAGTGCTCTATCCTCTGAGCTACCACGCTCTCGCATTAATATTTTTATTTCATTTCATAATCGTCGTAGGGTATATCAAAAGAAAAGAGAACTGAATAGCAACTCTTGACCTGGAAATGTTATCGTACACTGTTAGGAATATCATATCAATTGATGCCTCTTAATGAGTTCCTTTTAAGAAAAAATTGCGATAAGACTATTTTCTCCAAATTATATGTTAGAGGAAATTCGACAGTAAATATTATATTTCATATTTGTTTATTTTACGTTTACTACTTTCTTTTTTACTTTAATATGCAAATAAAATATTCGTCTTATTTAATCTGACCTCGGCCTGTACAGATTTTTTATCTATTTAAGTACAAGTAGTGTATCAATAATTTGTTAAGTTACCCTAGGATCTTAAGTATGAAATGGTTGAGAAGCACTAACGTATAATTTTATGTAAGTAGCTAAATAGTAGATTTCTCTTTCTGGGATTAATTCACAAATAAAAAGGACTTAATCTTTTGTACTAATTGCACACTGTAAAAACTTTCGAATCAAACTACCAGCACCTTGGGTTCCGATACTTTTTAATCCATTTTAACCGAAACATATTACGGTAGAAAAAAATTGATTTACCTTTATTTTTTTAGCAATAATCACAGTAAAATCTTTGAATCACTTTAATTGTATAAATAATAAATGTTATTGTAAAAATTACAGTGTAATATTTTAAGGTAAAAATTAATTTTACGGATGATATACCCAAAGCTCTGGTACTTTATACCGTAATTTGATTCAGAATATTTATAGTGCACTATTAAGCATTATTACTAGGCAGGCATAAACTACTTTAATCTTACCAAAAAGACGGGAAAATATTTAATACGCATTAGTTGCTACATCTCATAACATTTACGTTTGTGTTGACCTACCATTACACCTTTGACTACCATGTATGCATACATTTTTAATTTGTTTTAATCATACCTTAAAGAAGTAGGTCATCCCATTTGACCACGTTAAAGAAGCATCTAAATTTCCATCAAGACCATTCCAGTCGTCCTTAATTTTTCGGGGATATCCATCAGCTATTTTGTGATCGAGAATTCTCCAATAAAAATCACCTATATTTCATAAAATTTGATACTTGTAAAAATGCTCTCATAAATCTTATTCTCTAACTACAAGTTGTTCTGTAATGTAAGGCAAAATTAGTATTCATATTTCCTGCAAAGCATATCCTAAAATATGTCTTACATTTTGCGTAACTCACTAACTCTTGCTAGCAGTGTGTTACGAAATTATTTGTTATATTATTATATATCACTTCATATATCACTAATTTTTATACATACAATCAATAATTTTAAAACAGTAAAGATACTAAAATAAGTTATATTTCATCAAATAAATAAAAGTTAGTTTCATACAGCAAATGATTTTTTAAAATCTAGGTGTTACATTAGTATAAGACCACCTATTTCTTTTTTCAAAATTGTTTCAGTTTCAAAATCTTTTTTACTTTTTCTTTGAAAATCGTATTTTAAGTTTAACTTTGTATCGCGGAAAACGCAAACAATAGTTAATTTTATTTATTGAAAAACAAAGTTAAATTTATTTATTGAAAAATCACAATGCTTCGCGGAAAATAATTATCTGAATAAGAAGTTCGAACAATTTGGTTTTTTAAAGGCTCTGCAAAGTCGGAACATAAAGTATGTAAATTAATTAAGCGTTCTAAAACTGCCGTTCATTCTGTTTAAACTAAAGGAGGTTCATTGGAAAATATAAAAGATCTAGTAGGAAACATAAATTATCATCTTGAGAAAATAAATAAATTGCTTGCAATGACACAGAACTCGTTTACTCGCAAAATAACTCAGCAAATAAGTAGAATAAACTCCCATACAATTATCTAGTGCACTTAGAGATGAAATTTCAATTATTCTTCGAAAATTAAAAAGATATCCAAGGCTGTTAAAGCATCATAAAGAAGAGAGTCTAAAGTGGGCAAAAGAGATCATGATATGGGATGCTATGTGGAAAAAAGTTTTTTTTTTCGCTGAAAAGAAGTTTAATTTCGATGGCCCAGATGATAATAATTAATACTGGGATGATTTGCGAATAGAATCTCGTGATTTCTACTATAGACAAATGGGTTGTGACTCGGTATATGGTCTGGGGAGCTCTTGCGAATGAATATAATCACCACTATGCATATAATCACCCATATGATTCTATATACGACCTGAAAGAAACTATCATGGGTGAATGGCACAAAATTCCTAAAACTTAACTTGAAAACTTGATTCAGTCGATTAAAATTCGCATCTTCGAAGTTAGTCAGAAAAATGATGAAAAAGCATCCTTTTAGTTTTGTAGTAAAGTTTATTTTAACTGGTGGTCTTATAATATTATAACAGTCATTTCAGGGGGAAAAGTTTTGAAATTGGTGACAAAATATTCATATCTAAATATATCTTTTAAAAATTACATGCATGTATTTTGTTCTTCATTCATTTTCATTATCTTAATTCAATTTTGGAAAATTTAAAGCACTTATAATTAAAGCCACAAAAATTGCTGCGGTCTTATAATTTTTTTAACACTCCATCATAAGACCACTATAATTAAGATAATATTATATTTAAGATATTAAAAACTATATTTAAGATAAATATTTAAGATCTTAAGAAACTAAATTTAAAATATATATTTAAGATATATATTTAAGATATTAAAAACTTATTCCTGAGAAATAAAATTTTTAAGAAGTCGTTTCTTTAAAATTCAATTTCTCAAGAACTTTTCAACTGTTTTTGCTCAAATTTAATATTTTGCCATGTAAAATTACATACTTTAACACTAGATTGCCCGAGGAAGTCATTTTGACTGCTTTTTAATTTCAATTAGAAAAACAATGATGACACAGTTTCTTAGAATTTTGTGACTTTTTGTACAACACATAATTTTTTTATTGTTAATATTTACTAATAACTTGTTTTATAACTGAAAATAATATCAAAAATGTTAAAAATTCATTTTAAACAAATTTCTTTATACATTAGTTATTCTTTCACAATGCAGACATTTTGACTGCTTTTGGACAATTTAGGTTTTCAGTCTTTCTAGTGTTAAAAAGATGTAAAAAATTGTAAACTTTGCAATTCAAATTTTTTTCCGACAGTTATTGAATAACATAATAAAAAATAATAAATACATACTAAAATCTATTTTTTGCATAGAATTATCTTTGGATTAAACGAATTTTATAGGTGTGTGCAAAAGTTTCTTAAATTCGTTTAAAAAATTCTCCAGACATGGAGAAATACGCTAAAAGTAAACTTAACATTAAGGGGTCCAAACTTTAGACCACTCTCCTGACCAAACTATGGGAACCATAGTTCCCTGATATCCGCTACCCCCTATATTTTAGGGTTCAGAAATCCAAATCGGTCGAAAAATAAATATTTATTCAGAGAAAGTACGTTTTTGTGTCTGATTTTGTAACTTAAAATATAGTCTGCACTAATTAATTAGCATATTTGAGGTCACCCCTCCAAACCACTGAGAATGAATCTGAGAACGTGAAGATCTGATCATTAGATCAAAAGTTATTTAGGGTTGCTCGTTTTTCTTTTCTTTTTTTGCGCTCTGAAAATTGTTTCATACACATGAAAAAACATAACGCAATAATCTCACATTACATATTTATAAAATTAATCCATTTTTCTTTTATTCATTTTTTATCACTTTAAAATAATTTAAAAGCATGTGTTATGTATTTTCGGATTTATTTTAAAATATTAAAATTTTTCCTGTTATGTAGTCATATGTTTTTATGTTTTTTCATGCTAATTCACATTTGTGCAAAAAAAATTACCCTTAAAAAGGTAACTATTTCCGTTCTGTGTTCGTGTAGCAGCATCTATTGTACCATCTTGACATACATCTGGAGCATCATTGGTATCAGGTGATGGGTCAGAATGTTCCTCTTCAGGTGCAGGTAGTGCAGGACCTCCTCTTGAACCTACAAAAATGCAGTCATTTTCATTCTTTTGTGATCCACTATTTAAAACTTGTGATTATTTATGTATTTAAGTTTTTTTAAGAGTTAAGAGTTTTAGTTTAAGTTTATGTAAAGAGTTTTTAAAGAATGAATTAATTTTTTCAAACATCAACCTTACCCTGTCTTAATAATTTCAAACAAAATGTTTAGAGTTAGAGTTTTATTGCTGTTTAACAAATAAAAAATTATCTTACCATATAGAGCTTGAATTGCCTTTATATCATCGATATCAATTTCAAATGAAGGATCATACCCTTTGTAATGAGGAGTCATAATTGCATTTAGTTCATCCGTATGTGCAAGACCCAGAGAATGACCAAATTCGTGTGCTGCTACTTGGAATATATCGGTACCTGTTTAACAACATAATACACGTATTTAAAGAGAGTAAAGAAATAACTATTTCTGTATTATGGGTATTATATATATATATATATATATATACATATAATAAGAACTTGATAGAATAAATCTAAATTTTCTTCTCTAGATGCATTCCTTTACGGCAGAGGCATTTCGAAATAAAAATTAACTATCCTAAGACAATTAAAATGCATGAATGTCTTTATAATTTTGAGTCTAACTGAAGGATGCAAATTTCTAAAAAGAGTCTGTTCTCTTTTTTTTTTTTTTTTTTTTTTTTTTTTTTTTTTTTTTTTNTTTTTTTTTTTTTTTTTTGGCACACTCAATAATTGAGAAATTATTTGGATTTTACTTCTCAAAATCTTTCACTGCCATTTTTCCCTTCGAAAATAAAGTTTCACAGAGAGTGGTTAAATATAACTTCAAAAATATTGCTTGAAAACGTTTTTCAAAAATTTTTAATTATTTAAAAAATGTTTTAAAAAAGTTAGCATAAATTGTGATGCGAATTTTCTACCGAAAGCATAACAAAAGTTGCGTGAACTTAATAAGATGAACATTTATTCCTATCATTCCCTTAGAAACTAAGAATATGTCCAAGTGCCCAATGCAAACTAAAAAGTTAAAAATCAATCGATACCTGAACTTTCATCGATAGTCCATTCTTCTTCATCATCGAAATGAGCATTTCCTCCATATTGTGGAAAAAATGCATGAGCTAATGTATTACCCGGACCATCGAAAGCATCCTTATCTCCATGCTCTCTTCTTTCAAATCGAATATCAATATCAACTCGACCTCTCTTTCGTTCTCTGAAGGAAAGCGGTGCAACATCACTCCACACCTAAAACATTTAAAACAATCTCATTTAATATTCATCTTGGTGATTTAAATATAGTTTATTAATAAAACATGCTAATAATTATTAGTAAAAGTTAATGATACATTAATAATAATACTTTAGTAAAAGTTAATAATATGATAAATCCAAATGAAATGCAGCATGCAATTTTTTAAAAAATACATGCCCCACGGGAAATACAATTTAATAGCTTTGACACTAATTAAATGCAACTTTTTATCCATACATGCCTATCGGGGTATAATTATTTATTTATTTATCAGAAACTGATGAGTCGCCACTCAAAGGTAGCAAAAATTATCAAATTGCCAGATGGAATGCATCAAAAAGGCGAGAAAAAAAAAGAAAATGAATTATATTTGATTAGGCTTAGTAGTTACTAAATTTAATTATAAAAAAACAAGTAGAAGGGCATGCATTCGATGAAAATTCTTACTTTTTCTGATAATAATACTCCTTTCTTAATAAAATTTTTCTTCATTAATTCGATCACTGCTTGTTCGTGTCTAATATTTTTTGATTACTAATACTTCTTTCACTTGATTTATACTTATTATGGAAGTTTTGATGTAGATATTACGACGTTAATGTTTCTTTCCTTACAGATTAATATACACTGGGGAATAAATATTTGCTGCATTATACAAACACTTGTTAAGGCTTACTTGTTAATATTTGTAAATACTCTTAGGGCATCAGGATCAAGAGTAAATTGCACAGAAATCCATGCAAGAAAATGTCATTGGGCTTGACTAGGTCCGCTTCCCCTATTATGACTTGTTCAAAAGTACACAAAGAAGCAGTTCATATTAGGGAAGAACCCCTAGTGGTGCATGATGACTTTTTCGGACAAGGGTTCCCATGCCATTTTAATCCTGATGATATGCTCTGACTCCCTTAGAGGTTTATTCTAGCATTTACGTGATTCTAGCATTACGTTTTGTATTCTATAACGTTTTTAAACTTGTAAATTTCGACAAAAAATAGACTAAAAATGCCATTTAAAAAAAAAAAATCTGCAGCTTGGAGAAAGAAATCAATTGCAGAGTTGAAATCAGTGGTGCGAAATAGATCTTTTAAAAAATCTCATCCAAACGAAAAAAAATTATTTCTCAGTGTAATAGGTACATTCATAAATTTTCATGAACATGCATTCGAAAAAGATGTTCTTATTGGAGCATGTATTTTGAAGATTGACATGTACTGCGGAGCATGTAGAAATATTGAGATTTATCATGATGAATTGGACATATTATTAATCACTTTAAAAAAGAATCTGATTTTTGTCGAAAAAATCTTAATTTTTACATGCTGCTTTTATTTGCTTGTTCTGCAGCGTCTAACCCACGTGCTTTAAGCAGCACTCCGCAAAATTATTGAAATGTCGCAGACTATATAAAACAAGCAAAAACTGAGTTCACAATGCTACAACTTTTCCTTTTAAATATATTGTTGCATCTTTTAAATATTGAGGAAGATTAATTTTTAGGTAGGTTGTTGTGTGAAAACACAGGTGAAAAAATAGAAATCTGAAATCCTAATATTTGCTTACATTACTACACTGTAGCAAAAAGAAAAAAAAAATACTAAATGATCCAAATTTTTGTCCACACTCTTGACCAAGCAATATTTGGTCCATATTTTTCAGATTGCAGCTACACCCCCCCTCCCTATTTCAAGCGTTAAGAATCTAAAACCGTCAAAAAAGAAAAAAAAACTATGTTTATTTAAAGAAAGTACGTTTTGTGTCTGATTTCGTAACTTAAAATATCGAATGTAATCATACCACTAACATTGAGTCGTAATGCGTAAAAATTCAATCATTAGATCAACAGTTACTCAAAGTGCACCTTTTTTTATTTTCGCGTTGTGCATAATTGAATTTATATATTTTATTTTTATAAAAATTGTATCTAATGAAGGGTAGAGTTAATTTAGTTTACCTTGAAAGCTTTTTCGAATTCTTTATCCACCTGGTCTCTATTTCTTACCCTAGACGGGTATTTGGAAATTCGATAAGTAAGATGTGTCATTCTCCATTTGCTTCCTAATTTTCAAAATAAAAATTTATGAAATGATAACATTTGAAATGAATGAGGAATTGATTAAGACAAAATGAAATGAATGAGTAATTGATAGCTAATGAGACAAATTTTGCACTTAACTTCCAATTTAGTTTTTAAACTAGTTGTTTATTACAAATAATTTTGGATAAATTTTATTTGTAAAAATGTTACTCTTGCTAAACTGTGTACCGTAAAAAGACCATGTGGTCTGATAGGCAATACATGAAATTTTGACCCCCCCTCCAACATTTAAATTCTGCCGTAAGTATACATTTGGAAAGAAATTTGTCGATTTTCCGATTTTATCAATCTAAGATGATTTTTTGGAAGCAGATTTTTTAGATTATCTGGCAATAAAAATATATAATAATGCAAAATTTAGAAAAACCCAGATTAAGATGGGTTGTATATTTACTTAGAACTAACTGCATTAGGACCCCCAGAATGTATTTATAGTCATACCAACTAGCACTTAAAAGAGAAGGTAGTCAAAACCGATTGCCTTAATAGTGATTTAAAAACATTAAAAACAACTGGATGGATAAATAATGCGAAGGATACAGTTGCATGGTATCAAATTCCAAAGAAGGCTAAGGCCCATCCTGGGCAGTTACGCCACTAAGGAATGAAGGAAGCTTAAAAAAAAAGACCCTTTATCGGGTCGACATATGAAAAAGGGCATGAGAATTTTATCAAGTGGACGCATTGGAGCAGCAATTCTTTTTGCTACTAAACTTCTAGGTAATTTTTAAAACTGTTAAGCTATTTTAATCGATTAAATGATTTCAGTCTTAATAACTGAAATTTTAAAAGTATTTCTTTTACTAAAACAAATCTTAATAAAATTTTTATAATTGCCTTTAAAGATCCTCTTAAATGTAAAAAAAATGATTAAGGTTTGCATTATTATTATTATATATTAAGGTTCGCATTATATTATTATGAACAAGTTCGCATTGTTACGAATACTGCAAGGATTATAATATAATTAAACTGCTAGCATAGGAAGTTCTATGTTAGGAAAAAAAAAACTCGTTTTTGTAGTCGGTGGAAGTACAGGTCTTTCGTTTTGTCTTTAGAAAATAAGAAGATTATGCAAAATTATTCTTTTCACAAGAATTACATAGAATTCATGATTAAGATCATAGAAATATATAATACCTTGTAAAGCATATCGTTTCTTTCTTGTTGTATCAGAATGACCAATTCTATCCTTAACTCCACATCGTGGTTTGCTCATCATTGCGATAGTTTGTCTATCCAAAACACCTGTAGCAAAAAAAATATACAATTATTTTTAAAAAATTTGAAATTTATTCAAAGTTCATTTTTAATTAGTTTAATTTTAACTGCCGACGATGAATACGCAACATAGATGAGCTAAAGAGGGGAAGATTTTGAAACATTATCAAACTGATGAAATCACATTGTAAACAATCAAGAAAAGAATCACAGAATATAACTTCTTGTTAATGTAGCTATGAACTATGGCTTTCGTCGAGAAAATATAACATTCAAGATGTCAATTATTTTAATAATTAATAAAGTATTATTTGTCACTATTATTGTAATTTTAAATTTCTCTAGATGGAATATTTTTTTTTAAATATTACTTCTTTAAAACTAAGTTTTAGGCAGACAAAAACTGCTTTGATCTAAAAGGTTTCATTTTAGGAAAAATTTTGCAAGCACTTTTATTCTGCGTTAATATTACTTAAATTTTTCACAGTAAAAATTTCCGGATCAAACTCCGGTATAAATTTACCAATACTTTTTACCATAAAGTCTACTTTTACCGGAGCATGTTACGAAACAAAAAATCAGATATAACACAATTTTTACAGTAATAATTACCGTAAAATCTCTGAATCACTCGATCTCATTAAATAAATGTGACAGAAAAAAAGTTGAAGTATAATATTTCACAATAAAAATGAATTTTACGGATGATGCACTCAATGTACAGGTACTTTATACAATAATTTGATCCGGAATTTTTCACAGTGTATGTTAAAACTTGAAAACGTCTCAGAATGTATTATATAAAAATCCTTATTTTTCGTTAAATTTACAAGTCACTACTCAAATCGCAACACTTTTTTTAAAGGAATTAAGATTCTTATATTTTGATTATGCTGAATTTGACATATGAATGAAGTTTTTAAAACACAACAATGCAAACAACAATTTCACAATTAGATAAAAGGATTTTTTCTTATTTTAAACATATTTTTAAGTGCATACAAAAATTTCTGAAAACTAAATAAAATGTAAGTAATATGATTCTTAACCCAAGTTCTTTTTAAATTGAAAGTTAGAAATGTAATTAAAATATTTCAGATTATAAAACGCCTATCTTAAAAAATGCGTATATGAAATAAAAACATGCCATAAAGTCTTTAAGACGTTATTAAGAAAGTAGAATTTTTTGAAATAAAGAATATTTTTTGAACGATATTTAAGAAATTGACTCTAAAAAAAGAATAAGTGGTATGCTTCCAACTACCGACTTAAAAAATTTAGTATGTTTCTAAAATGTATATTTAAAATGTATATAAATTGCGTAAAATGCAACGAGAAGTCTAGTTTAAAGTTAACCAATATTTAAATTAGGTACTAAGACCTCTGTTTAAACAAAACTTTTCATGTTTATTCAGAAAAAAAATGTCTCAAAATTAATTTCAATCATAAAATTTTTCCTTTTTCTTCTTTCTCGTTTTATACTTTTGAATATTAGAATTAGCATTTTCAAAAATAAATTATATGGACTTTTTTCAAAAGTCTTTTTCAGAACGATTTTTCATTGAATCTTAAATAATTTTGCAGTGGTAAATCTTTGGTAGATTATATTTTTCGTACAATCATTTCTATTCTAGATTCAAAAAAATTTCTATTCTGTTTTTATTCTGCGAAGAATTTTAAGAGGGTTACGGTTCGTAAAAACACTAATTATTCGGGTGTGCAATTTGGATAAAAATTCCAAATGTATTTGAAAACCTGTATTTAATTTTTTTGCTTATTATTCTTCAATATTTGATGCTAAATGTAACATTAGTCATAAATTGTTTGAAGTTTCTTTCAGATGATTGAAATTTGAAGAAAAATACTACAATCAAAAGCAGCAGTTTCATTAATTTATTGAGGTATTATTTTCCACTTATAACAAATTCATTTTTTTTTTTTTTTGGATCCGCAAATAATATTCGATTCAACTAGTTTTTATCCAAAAACGATATATAACTTAATTGTAAATAATATACAGCTTTCATTACAAAACGGAGATGAACTGCATTAAAAAAAATCCATATTCAATAAGTGATGTAATTCACATTGCATAGAAAAGCTTTCACCTTACGAGCCTTGAAATTGACAAACCTGTTTGCTGCTCTAAGTTTGGAGTCTCTTTATTTTTTTCCTACAGGTCAGCAATGCAAGCAATTACCAGCAACACTCATTAAAATGTTGTTTGTTTTAATTATTGCTTTAGTTTACGTTTAATTGATATTTTATGATGACGGCGGAAGCATGTAGTTCTCTATAATTTTTTGTGATTATACCAATGAAAATTAAATTCAAAAATTTATTCAGAAAATTTCATAACTAATTACCATAAAGGTAATTTATTAACTTAATCACAATGATACATATTTAATAAATTTTTACAATATAAATTTAATACAATTTATAATATCTATTTTGAAAACTCTAAAATATTTGTTTTACTTTTCTAGTTGTAAATCTTCTAGTCTATTCTCTCATTCTCTCCTTCCCTTTGTTTACCAAACATTAAAATTTTTTTTACAAATTTTAATTACACTTTTTTCCAGTTTCTATAATTTAAATTAAGAAACAAATTTAAAAAAATACTAAATTTTAATAACATTTATTCAGCTAAAGCATACGTTGAATATCAAAGAGAATGTAACCAACTCTCGAATGATTGTGAAAATTTGTGTTAAATTTTAAAAAAATCATTCACATTCCATTAAAATATTTAACTAAACTCAGTCTCACATTCACAATTTTGAGATTTTTAGTACAAATATAGTTGGAGTTTCGATGCATATAAAATGTAAATTAACTTATTGACAAAAAATATACAATGCCAGTACGTCAGTATTATCGACAAATTAATTCGAATCAAACAAAAGTGATTTTTTTTCTTTCATTATTTAGCTGATTTAAATCAGAGATGCGTATCGTTTGGACTAATATGAGGCACTATATTGTATGTATAATTATTTTAAAGCTAGAGCATTTAACACCTTTTATTTGTGACAGATATTTTTAAAAAATACAAAGAAATTGCTGTTTTACTTTATACTTATATGGGATTAAATCACATTCTTTAAATTCAATCGAATAAATGAAATAAAATAAAGGTCAAAAGTTGTTTTTGTGATATTTTCTCCATGATAATTTAATAAATTTAGTCTCGATAGCCTTTGAGAAAAAGGAATATAGAATTCTGCAGTTTTTGAACTAAATTAAAGCGACTATAACTAATTGAAATTTAAATCTGTTCAAATAAATACTTATAATTTGAATCATTGAATCAATTGATTTGAATCAACATTACAATTTTTGACTTAAATCAGATTACAATCAGATTCCTGTCAGCAATTGCTGATTTAAGCGACGAATCTGTACCACACTCTGCTCACAACTATTAAAAACTCTGCGAATTACGAAAATAGGAATTTTGAACTTCGTCGTTATTCATCTTCACTGCTACAATATTTCGATAACTTTTACGACTCTATTTTTTCAATTTGATGGTTACGATTTTCATAACCATTATTGTATTATGTGCAAGCCAAAAATACATTTTTGACGCTCAATCAGGAAAAAAAAACATATTTGCTTGAAAGGAACTTATAATGTTTAATAATATTATGAGTTTTAAGATGTTACCAGTTTGGTTTAGACCAGAAAACCGCTGGAAATCTTTTAAGGCATTTGAAATTGAATCTCCTGCAGTGAGAGAGCCGGTTCTGCCATCTATTCTGTTTTCCAAATATCCAAATTTTTGTAAGAAAAGCTGAAATAAAAAAATTTTGTTTAGAGTCTTGATTATGTCTCAAAAAATCATGTCACTTTAAAATTACAAAATATTTACATACACATTGTTCCAAAACTCAATAAAATTAAGCAGAGGCTGCATGTATGATGATTATTCTTGAAAAATATATTTATAAGCCATGTTGTGGATGATAGTTATTTAAAATATATTTTCCTAGATAAGTTGAAAAATTTAATTATCTAAAAGATTTTCACTTACTGCATGCTGTATCTTCATATATGTTATAGTTGATACGAATAACATTTTTTGGTGAAAGAACATTTTTCTTAAAAAGGTATATTTTAAACGCATTTTAAACGCATTGTCGGATTTTCTCAAAGAATAAATAAGCAAATTGTGGTCTAACGTAGCATGGCAATTATAATTTGCTCGAATAATTAATTAGCAAAAACTCCTGTAAAAAATTCAGATTCCTAAGTTATGGAAAGTGAAAAAAATTATATCAATAAAGTCATATAATGAAACTTTTTCAAAGAAATCAAAACCACCAAAGTTGGTGTATCACTGGAAAGAGATTATTTTGCTGTAAAAAAAAAGCATTCAAATCTCATATAATAAAGAAAGAGATTTATTTAAAAAACAATTCTTTTCATGCAGCTGACATAACCACGTTATTTGGGTAAAAAGTATCAATACAAAGGAACTTATAAAAAGAACAACTTCGAAATTCAACAGTTATTGGCTATTTTTTTATTTTATAACCGTCATCGAACAGCCAACCCAATTATGGGTTTACGACTACCAATGTTCAACTCCATATTCGAGTAATTTTGAACCCAATCCAGAAGACAAGGGAACTCCTGGATCAAGTATTGGGAGAAAATTGTCTTCGTGGAGGACTTTTTTTGAGGGAACTAGCCTGCATTTGCTAATGAAGAGGAAATCCATGAAAACCTCTCACGGTCGGACTGACAACAAAGATTCTAACCAATGATCCGTCTACCACTGAGACTGAGGATATTTTTACGTTAGCACTCTGGTCGGGGCGAGCAGAGTGCAGAATTCGTATCGACCACCCGTGGCTGGGATTCGAACCCAGTTCTCCTCATTGGGAGGTTAACGCTTAATCCCCTGAGTCACCACGGCTGAGTTATTAGATATTAACTATTTTATAACTAATTTTTTAATACGCTAGCATTAAATGCTGTTTTTTAGGGAAAGATTAGGAGTTCTTTAATCGGTGTACCGCTGAAAAAAAAGATCATTTTATTGAATAAAATAAATTTGAACCTCCCATGATAAAAGAAAATGATTTAGTTGATTTAAAAGAGGAAAAAAGAAACTGTAAAGATGCATGAATTTGTTTCCGAACACGGAAGCGCTTATTATTTTATTTTCTGATAAGCAAGCCAGAACTTCTGAGGAAGACGTATTTCTTTCTTTTTGTTTTCCTCCGCCAATAAACACTGTTAGGTTATTATGAATTCTAGAAGAAAATTGTAAGTATAAAATAATATAAAGCGGGATTTTGTGGCAAGTTCATATTTCATGACGTTTGTATTTTCATTTATTTTACAAAAAGTGTTTTCAAAATATACACTGCAATAACTGTGGCGTAATATCTCTCCGAATTTGATGTGAAGCAATCATAAAAGTTGTGGGAAGGAATACTTTTTTTAAGGTTAACACCAAATCGCGTTTTCATTTACAATTTAAAGGGTAAATTTTACTTTATTTTATTTTATTTAATCCGTCGTTGAACAGTCCAATTTTGGATTTACGACTACTAATGTTCAACTCCGTAGCCTTGTAATTTTGAACCAATCCAGAAGACAAGGGAACTCCTGGATCAGTACCCCCAGAGGTATTGATTTGTTATGGGAACATGGAAGACTTTGCGACTCGATAGATTTAACGTGCATCTGTCACCATTTACTACACGGGAAGTCTTCGGCCGGCTGGGATCGAACCCAAGACCGCTTTGACATGGGCTCAGTGCCCTACCAACCAAGCTATCCCAGCCTTAAAGAGTACATGAAAGCTCTAAACACCGAACCCCAAGATCACTCGCCTTTGAACTACATGTTAAATTTTTTCACATCCGAAAACTCCAATGTTGGCGAGTTTTGATTTTCTCTGAAATTGCTTACAATCGATAACGAGTGGGGAGGGTTTGCAGCTGTCTTTAAAGTTGCTTATCATCTGCAGATGCTAAAGTTTGCAGTTCAGAGTATGTATATATGTTTTTAGCTATGTATGTTAAATTTTCAAATCCAAGCAAACTGTATGAAATAATTTTATAATGTATAATTTCTATTCGCTCCTGCTCTATTAAGCCTAGTTCAAATTCTTCTTAATATTCTCTCTGGTACGCGTATGGATGGTTTACCAACTCATTTTATTTTAAGAATTAGTGTAAATATGCATTCTAAATTAATAATTCTAACTTTATATTATATCGTAAAAATAACTTTACTGAATAGTATGTGTATTTATCTTATTGTAATAATGCATTTTATTTTTACTGAATATCAAAAACGATGGCAGTTTCTTCACACCAAGTAGTGTAAAAGAACATTTTTCGTGGTTCACTATACGAAGAACTATTCTTAGTTCATAATGTAGTTGTAGAACATCACTTTGGGGTAAAGTAGTTCCCCCCATTTTCGGTGTTCAGGTACACAAAACTTTTTTACAGTCGCCAACAAAGAAACAAAATAAAAAAAGCGGACTACCCTGAATAAATTTTTAACTAATGATCGGATCTTTACGTTCTAGGACTCAATCTTAATGGTACGAGGGGGTAACCTCAAATATGCCAATTAACGACGGTTTTTTTAATTACGAAATCAGACACAAAAACGTACTTTCTCTGAATAAACATATCTTTTATTTTAGATTTCTGACAGCCAAAATATGGGGGGAAGCGGAAATGTAGGAAATATGGTCCCACTCAGGAGAGTATCCAAAGTTTGGACCCTTTTTGCATATTTCGCAATGTCGCGAGAAATTTTTAAGTGAAATAAAAATGTTTTGCCCACAATTATAAAATTTGATTATTTAAAGATGATTCCATGTAAAAAATAAATTTTGGTATTTATTTATTATTTTATTTAAAATAGTCGAGAAAAATTTTCACTCTTAAGGTATACAATTTTTACATAACTTCGAAGTATTTAATTTTTTTAATTTTGCGTGGCGAATCCCAAATTTGAGCAAAATCGGTCAAACAGTTTCTAAGAAATCAAATTTAAGAAATTTTCCCAAAAACTATTCGACCGATATCGCTCAAATTTTGTGCTTTGCTATTTAAATTGCATTCTTTAAAGTGAGGCAAAAAGTTGCATACCTTACAATTCAAACTTTTTTCGACTATTATTAAATAAAATAATAAAAAATACTAAATATTTACTAAAAGTTATTTTTTGCATGAAATTATCTTTGGATAAACAAATTTTAAAACTGTGTGCAAAATTTTTTCAATTCGCTTAAGAAGTTATCGAGATATGGCGAAATACGCAAAAAGTAAAATTAACATTAAGGAGTCCAAACTTTGGATCTCTCACCTGAGCAAACTAGTGTGACCATATTTCCCAAAATACGGCTACCCCCTATATTTTGGGTGGCAGGAATCCAAATCCGTTGAGAAAAAGGTATGTTAACTCAGAGAAAATACGTTTTTTATCTGATTTCAAATCTTAAAATATCGTCTGCACTAGTTAATTAACATATTTGAAGTCACTCCCTTGAACCGTTAAGAATGAGTCCTAGAACGTGGGGATCATTAGATCAAAAGTTATTCAGGGTGCTCCTTTTTTTTTATTTTTTACGACGCAATGTAGATCCGCAAAATAAAATTGAAACGCACAATAAAAACATTTAAGTTATGATATTAAGTCTATCTGAAAGCACCTTACACGATGCTGATTAGCTATATGAAATATAAGACATGGAAAAAATGTTCAGGGTTTTCCCAAAAATATCAATCAAGATAACCTTTTGGGGAAAAACCAAAGACGTGTTCATCTTGATTGACCTTAAGATGGGGTCAATAATGTTAACAGCAAACCAGATAAAAGTGCGTGTTTTTAAAATTTTGAATCTACAATTTTTTTATTACTACTTTTAACTTTTCTTATTTTTGTAAACACAAATTATGACCTCAATCATTTTTAATAGTTTAAAAGAAATCTTTATCGCTAAGTTTTGCGCGTATTTTCTCTCTTTCTGAAATTTATAGATTACATTTTTGAAAATTATGCACTCAGCTATTAATTATATCCTGATTCAGAAAATTTATTAATCTATTATTGTTCTGATAACATCAAAAATATAATAATAAAAGTAAAACTATCATTCTTTACGTTTTAAAAATTCTTAGTTCTTTATTTATTCCTTATACCTCCATATTTAGAACTTCATTCCTTATTCTTAATTTTTTCAAGCATGCTCCGCATAAACCTACATCATTTTTATGCAAGCTATAAGATGCAATTGAACCAAAACAGCGTATTTTCATTTTCCGATAATATTTCTAGAACATGATTTATCCAATTCGTCAGGATCATTTATCATTGTTTGAAAACTGTCTATTGGTTTCAAAATCTCAGTATTTGATAATACTTTTTAAAAAGTATTTTTTTTCACACCATCACCGAAAATGAAAAAAAAAATTTCAAACATTCGCTCTTTTGTTTCTATTTTTAGTATCCCACGTTACAAAACTGTTTTGTAAAATATATGTACTTTAGTAGTCTAAATCATTATTACGTTTCACATCTGCAGAAACTAAGAAAAACTTTGGTTTGCATTTCAGTTAAAAAACAAATAGTCAAATTGTTTATAGACGGAATTTATTATGTACTTGTCTAAGACAGAAAATCGTTCAAGTCTATACAATTAAGGAAATTTTTTTTAAAGTTATATAAGTGAAAGTATGCTAGGAAAATAAAAATAAAAGGAGCATAAAAATTCGTTCGAATTTACTTTTAGCAATAGAAAAGAAACCCTTAATTTTTGTTACAAAACAGCGATATAAAATTTTATTGAAAACTCTTTCGATAATATTTATGTTAATATAAAACTTTACTACTAAAAGCAAAATGTCACGCGTTTGCATACATATTTTTGTTCATTTACTATTCCTCATTTTCACTAAGTTCTTAATATTGTTTTAAAATATACTACACTAAGAAAAAAGGTATGGTCAAAACTACCAGAATATGGTGAAATTTACCGTGTTACTGATGCTATGGGAACGCCAAAATGCTCGATAGTTTTAGATAGAAAAAAAATCAGATAGAAAAAAAATCCATCATGATATATATATTCCTTCCTTTTCAACTAGAATTATGTTAGAAAATTGTAAAAAAAAAATTACTCATCAATAAATAAATATCAACCCATTCCTTAAAAAAAATCCTTTCTATATTTATGGTTAAATTAATAATCACGAGTTAAATATAATTGATTTGTTTTTCAATTAACTTATAACATATTTATTACTAAATATGATAATTCACTCACCGCCGCTCTTATTTCTTCCGTAACTGGAAATGGTTGCGAAATAATCACTAAACAGAATACACAAATTATAGTAACGCTTATGCTATATCGCATCGTTCTTTAAATGATAATCATCTCCCAGCAAATGAAATAAACATTGTAAAAGGACGCTATTTAAAATCCTGTTCGTTGATGCGCTTCTCGCTTCGCTTTCTGATATCAGTCTGAAATCTTTCTTCGCTATAAACTTTTTGATAAATTTCTGGAGGCAACATCACTTAGACTCACGTGATTTAATCATTTCCTTCAACAAGGGGATACTAGGTGGCGTAGCTACTATTTGATATTCCAGTTACTCACAAAATAATTAATTAGCAAATTATGGATGAATAATAAAAGTTTCACAATAAAACATGAAGAAAAAAAAAAACATATTGATAATTTCTGTGTTTTCGAGGAAGTTCTTAATTTGTAGATTTGTTTTGGTTCAAAAGTGTATTATTATTTATTATTATTATTTATTACTATTATCATTAATTAATGATTTATTAATTTTTAATGAAGAAAAAGGAAATATATTTCTACACCTTTATCTATAAAAACTTTATGAGAAGTGGTAGCAAAAATGTCAAGCTTAAAAGTGTAGACTAGGTAACAAAGACATACTAGCATATTTGAAAAGTTCTTAGATATCTCATTCAATTTAGTCCGATATACATTTTGCAGAAATTTGAGTAGTTATTTTGGGCAATGGCAATGATTTAATATTTTCTCATAATAATTCTTCTAATTATAATGTTCATAATAATAATAATAATACTATTAATAATGATATTGATATTATTGTTAATAATGAAAATAATGATAATGGTAATGATAGTATAGGGAGGAAAAAATTCTGGTAAAATTACTGTACTAGAAAGAGATGACAGTTCTGGTAAAAAAAACATATACCAGACTATTCTGTGCTTAAACTATTCATATGTAATTTTTAAGTTCATATGGTAATGGTTCACAGGAAATGGTTCACTGATTTTCAAAAACTATGGAACTTATTACCAATATTTAGTAAAAAATGTAAAACTGAAAAGTAAATTTAACCGAATAAATGAATTTTATACCTTGCTCTAAAGCATCATAATAAAATTACTAAATTTTACCATTATTACCAAATTTCACGCTTTATTATAAAACCATATTTTATTTCTAATTTTACTAAAATTATTACCAAAGCGCTTCGGTAAAAATTATTAAACTTTTTGGTATTTCCATAGAGTCAGAATCACGTTTAATTTCGCCATTTTCTGGTAGTTATGACAATTTTTTTTTCTTAGTGTATTAATAATAAAAATTATCACTAATAGTATTAATTTTTTAAAGTTGTTGCACTCCTCTCATAGTGAAGCGTTCTGCAGAAACGGATAAGTTGCATGTAAATCTAGCTTATATCATATGCAATAACTTCTGGTTCGCAGTTCCAATCGACAATTAACTATATCACAGTATATTGATGCGTAGCAAAAAAAAAAAATCTAAATATATCTTATTATTTATTAGAATTTAAACGGAGTATAATATACATAAATTTTTCATCTAAAATATTAAAGCACAGAGTATTTTTTGTCTTAAGTCAGGTATTTATTATAATCATCAGCTAATTCTTTTTACTCAGCTTATACATTTTATTTCCTTATAGCATTGTACTTAATTAAGTCTGGTCACAACTTGTCTTAAAAAATTTTCCAATGCCATTACAGAATTATAAGAACTTTTGGAAATTGGCGTATTGAAACGTTAGTCATTGTGATGCATTTCTTAGAAATTTTCTATTAATGAATTTTTAAAATAATCAGGCCTTTACGCTAATTTAACAATAGATTATGTCTTTAATTTATATTAAATGTCTTTTCCGAAATTTATTTTCCTGTGAGCAACAAGCTGTAACAAATAGAAATATTTTTTTAAAATCTGTTTCATTTTAAATATGTATTTTTTTTAATAATATTATTTTTAAGCTTTCTAAGTTTCAAAGTTTATTTACAAAACGTGCTTGTAAATTTTTCTCTTTTAAAATCATAATTTTTACACAATTTATTAATTTTTGCATTTAAAAACTCAAATCTCAATCTATTAGATGGCTAGAATAATATAGGATAAGAGCTTATTAAATCCTTTTACCTCACTAGCCTTTTTTTACACTAAAAGCTCTTATATGCTTCCACATCGACTTTATTCTGCTCCGTGCAGTAAAGTAAATGTGCAATACTGACCAAATTTCAAAAATAATTTTGTTTTTTATAATAGTTTGGCTTTTTACAATATTTAACGATGTTAGGAGAAGTCACTATTTTTAAACATTTTTATAAGCATTTCTTAGTTACAAGCAATTTTAGTATTTGTTTAGGCCTGAGTATTTTGTTACCTGGATTGAAGCTTTGATTCGGCGCAGGATGATGAAATCGGTCATCAAGACTAAAAATTTTCAGGTTGCTGGATCTATCAACTTTATCAGCTTACATATTTAATATTGGCTAAGCATTTTACCGTTTTTTTTATTGAAAGGTTACATATCTGACCTGCAAAAAAAATTAAGCTTATCCTCAAAAAACATTAAAGAACATTTTTTTTAAAATTAAATTTTTGAAAATGAACGACCAGAAATTTGAACCATTATGAAGCATGAGATTTTACTACGGCATCGCAGACCAACATTAATATTGTATTAGGCTCTAGTGTCAGTTGGCTTTAATGTTGATTGAACAAGCATGAATCACCATAATACATTCAAAAGCGTAATATTTTCCCCCGCAAAAAAAGCTTAAGATGAATGTTGCTTGTTCTAGCTTAGGTAGAATTCTTTTTGATTTTATGAAACCTGACTCATCGATCACAATTGAAATATTAGAGCAACTATAGAACATATAGAACAAGTAACTATTCAGAATTATGCAAAACCTTAAAGAAGCCTTAGAGTGATCAACATTCCGTGTCCTATCATACTGCATCGCGTTGCCAAACCACACACTGCAATAAATGACTATAGCAAAACTACAAAAATTAAAAATGAAATTTTATCACCCTCTATTCTCAATAAATCTAGCTCCTACTGACTACTACTTCTTTCTAAATTTGAACAACTTTTAATAGAAAAACAATTTAGTTCCGAAAATGCTGCAAAACTGCTTTTCAGGAATTTATTGAGAATCATCCGCCGTTGTTTAATCTCACTTGCCTAAATAGCATGCAGTTTACATGATGAAAGTGTAGAGAAAATATATGTCCATACTTTGATGAATGAAATAGTTTCTTATATCTGTAAGCCATCAACCAACTTTGTATTTTTTTTCTATAAATTTTATACCTGATGACCTAATATTTTCATTTTTACATTTATATGGAAAATAGCATAAAAGGATACCCTCCACCATTATTAACTTTTATTTTTCGATGCAGAATTATGCTTACTAAACCTAATTCAGAACATTTCCGGCACCACTGGAAATTTTATCAAACACTGCTATAAAAAAATTTAAAATAAAGAAAAAAAAACATTATGGTTTTCTTATAAAATTACTGATATTCTCTAAACATGTTCCTGAACCTTTAAAAATAACTCTTGACATCTAAAAGTGTATACTCATTACGAGATGAAATTTGAGAAAAACGCTCAAGTTATTTTAAAAATTCAAATTATTTTAAAAATTCGAATTATTTCAAAAATTCAAATTATTTTAAAAATTCAAATCATTTTAAAAATTTAAATTATTTTAAAAATTCAAATTATTTTAAAAATTCAAATTATTTTAATATTTAATTAGAATAAATGTTAAAAATAAAACAAGTAGAAGAAATGCTGCATGCCGTTCACGTGACCACAAACTAAATTTCGGGTCACTAACAGAAGTTAATGATGTTTTAATATAGAAGAAAAATCGGAATTTTAATTCATTTTCAACTTAATTATTTATAGATTGGTAGACTGGGTAACTGAGTTTTAACCAAATTATTAAACTTTATTAGGTCATTCCTTAAATTTTAGTTTAAAATCGAATTAATCTACATAAATGCTTAATACACGTTCTTTTGTTGTTATAAAGTTTATCTTAAGAACTATTTTACAATACTAATCTAACAATTTTACAATAAATTGATGTTTTTATAGCTCTTTTTTATAAAAATTATTGATTCAACGATATTTTTTAAAAATATAATTTTCAGTTTTAAAATACATGATTTTAATCGTGTTGCATAAAAAGACAGTATGGTGAAATAAAAAGTTCGAATGTGAAAAGTGTATATCAAAATTTCCGTTCAATGGAATATTTGTCATCAAAAGGAAGCTATCTGAATATAATTAAGAAATTCATATCCAATTTATTTTGAAGTCTGTTTCATAAGCACGTTACATATGGCCAAATAAGAAAAAACGAGAGTGAGATTTACACAGAGGAAGTTAAGATAATGCGGAATTACCATAATATTTATAAATATTTCTCAATAATGGTATAATCATAAAAAATGTAAACAAACTGCGTAAGATATAAGTATTTAAAGTAGTTCTTTTACACTGCGCATAAGCAGAAAAAATTGAAAACAGTTTTTCAATCATTTTGTAGTGAATCGCATTTGGCAACTAATAACAAAAGTTTGATTTGAATATCTTAAAAATTTAAAAAGTTTCAAGCACTTTCCTAAATAGTTTTGCACTTTTTAAAAGAAAACTGAAAACGATCAGGGGTTTTCCAGAAAGTATATTATGTATCATAAGACAAAATTTAATAAAAAAATGATAGTACCTTACAATAATAGTTTGAAACCCGAAATGTGATGGTGTAATAAAAGAAAACATGCAAAATTAAACATACTTTTATAGGGGATGATCAATCACAATGACGGTCTCATTTTTAATAAATATTATTTAATAGTACCAAATGAAATTTGTGGAAAATCTCTCATCGTTTTCAGCTTTCTTTAAAATAGTACAAAAACTACTGAGAAAATTCCTTGAAACTTTTTAAATTCTTGAAATATACAAATCAAACTTTTTTCATTAGTTGCCAAATACGATTCACTACGAAATTATGAAAAAACGTTTTTAATTTTTTTCTTCACATGAGCAATATAAAAGAACTAACTTTAAATACTTACATCCTGTGCAGTTTAAATTTTTTAAAAAACGTAAAATTTTAAATCAACAATTTTATAATTAATTTTAAATTACTCCAAAAATTGTGTTTAATTTTATTGAAT